TTGCCATTTGACAAATCTGTGTGGGCCAAGAACCTAGGAACATCTGGCTCAGACCATGACCACCACAGGGTGACAGAAAGACCCTAAGGATACAAAGTGGGATCACGGATGCCCCATTGGAGACTGGCATCCCATGTACTGGGAGGGCTGAGGAGAACTAGGCTGATAATGTAATAGCATCTAAATTATTAATGATAGAGCAAAGCTTTGAGGACGTCCCCTCTGCCTTGGTAGCACAACGAGGAGGGCTCCAATTAAACATAGCAGACTCCTGGTCCAGTGAAGGCCCAATTAATTTTAATAGCTAATCTTCCACAGCAAAAATGATCAAATAAATAACAAAATGAAAGATCCAGAAGACAAGGAGATAGTGTGGTAATACTTGGGGCAGAAGTGATCACCCCAGCACCTAATAAGTGAGGATGTCCTCGAGTCAAAGAAGATTCTCTGAGGTGAAGGAGAGTACATGAGGATGGGTGTGGAGGTTGGAACAATTGGAGGGGCTTCCCCTCTGTTTCTACAGAGTGTGAGGTGGGCACATCCACTGGGCCTGAGGGGCAGGAAGTGGGGAGTGCTGGATGTCTGAGGGAACTTCCTGGGAAACGAGACAGGTCGCAACAGCTCACATAAGCTCTTAAAAGTGCCAGGGATAGCCTGGGTTGAAAACAGGGTCCTGTGGTCACCCCAGCTGGGGTATGGCTGCTTCTGGCTCAGGGCAGTGACACCGTGGTGCCAGCTGGCTGTGCTAATGAAGGAAAACGAGGGTGCGTGGAGGTCCCTTTGGCTCGAGGGCCCAGGTAGGAAGCAGGTCAGCAGAAAGGCCAGTGAACAGAGAAGTCGACTGTGTTGGAATGACCCTTCCAAGTGACTGTCACAGGAGGGGCCAACCAACCGGGAAGGCAGAGGAGAAGGCAGAAAGCATGAACGTGCCACACCAGGAGCGGCCTCAACGACCAAATCACTGCAGGCAAGGCTCTAAAAGGAGCATGTGTCCTTGGTATCCCGGGAGACCTAAGGAGAAATCAGTCCAGATAATAGCAAGATCTGGGGTACAGGAGAAGGGACTGGGTTTATTTCATTTGTCACCCTGACAAAGCCTAGAATCACCCGGGAAGATTCCTAATGAGAAACTGTCTAGATGAGGATGGCCTGTGGTATGTCCCTGGGGTGGCATTTTAATTGTTAACTATGGTGGGGTGAGGGGGACCATCTACCTTGAATGGGGACAACACCATTTTTTAGGCTGGGCCTCTAGGGTTTTTGTTTTTCTCCACACAAGTTTTTTCTGTGTATCTACCCTGGCCACCAGGCTGGCCTCAAACTCACAGAGATCCTCCTGCCTCTGCCCCCTGAGTGCTGAGGTTAAAGGCGTGTGCCACAACCACCCAGCCTCCAGTTTTTATTTTATTCTCTTTATCACATTTTAAAAGGTAAGGGGGTGCTGGGCATGACAGCCCATGCCTTTAATCATAGTAACCAGGGGGCAGCAGCAGGTGGACCTCTGTCAATTCAAGGTCTGTATAGCAGTTCCAGGCTAGCTACAGCTATACAGTGATACCCTGTCTAAAAAGAAAAGAAAAAGCCGGGTGGTGGTGGCACACGCCTTTAATCCCAGCACTTGGGAGGCAGAGGCAGACGGATCTCTGTGAGTTCGAGGCCGGGCTGGACCGACAGCCTCTAAAACGATACAGAGAAACCCTGTCTCGTAAAACCAAAAAAAAAAAAAAAAAAGAAAAGAAAAGAAAAAAAAGGAAAAAGTCACAGTAGGGCCAGTGAAATGGCTTGGGAGACAAAGATGCTTGAATTCAACCCCTGAAAAACACACATGGTAGAAGGTAAGAATCGACTCCCTGAAACTGTCCTCTGATTGACAGACAAGCCCCCATCTCCCATAAAGAAATAAATATATATTCAAAAAATTCCTTTGAAGCTGCACTTATATTTAAACTTAATGAATTTATTTACTTGGGGCACTGGGAATGGCATCCAGGTACTAAGTAGACTGACTACACCTGCAACCCAGCAAGTGACCATTTAGACGCCCGGGATTATAATTATGAGACATTCTAGAAACAGCTGTTCTGCTTCAGGGCATTCCATCGTATATGCTGGAAATGAGTAATTCCGTGTCACACAAGGCACATGTGGACAAAACAAAAGTGGTTCAACAGGGCATAAAGAGTGAACCAGAACCCAAACCTGGCTAGCAAACCCCTATACCAAAATGGTGACAACATATTTTAATCTCTGAAGTAGTTGGTAGCTATGTCTTACCCCATCCGTGGAAGCTCAGTTTCAATCTGACAAGACTGGTTAATCAGAACAAAGCAAGGTAGGACAGCAATTGTCTAGCTATAGAAACAAACAACAATACACAATGGCATTCTACTGGGGTGAGACCCAGGAGAAAGAGTCTTGAGGAAGTTACAAAGAAATAATCCAGTTTTCTAGTCCCTGGATCACAGTTTCTCAGAGCTCAATGCTTTTGTTCTTTATTGTTGTTTTGCTTTGTTTTGTTGAGATGGGGTTCTCATGTAGCCCAGACTGGCCTCAAACTTTCTATGAAGCTAAGCACAACCTCAAAACCCTGACTCTCCTATATCTGCCTCCCAAGTGCTGCAATTACAAATGTGTGTGTGTGTGTGTGTGTGTGTGTGTGTGTGTGTGTGTGTGTGTGTGTGTGGTGTGGTGTGTGTGTGTGTGTCCATGCCTGGCTCTCAATGTTTTGTCTCAATTTGTCAATGAATTAGTTTTCTCCTGACTGTGACAAAACGCCTGAGACTAATAAGGTAAAAGACCCTTTAGCAGCCGGGCGGTGGTGGCGCACACCTTTAATCCCAGCACTTGGAAGGCAGAAGCAGTCGGATCTCCGTGAGTTCGAGGCCATCCTGGTCTACAAAGCAAGTTCCAGGACAGCCTCCAAAACAATACAGAGAAACCCTGTCTCGAAAAACCAAAAAAAAAAAAAAAAAAAAGACCCTTTAGCGTTGTGGCATATTTGCACACTGTGTGAAGATGTAGCCCTATGATGGGGTTTAATAAAGAGATGAATGGCCAATGGGTAGGCAGGAAGAGATTAGGAGGGACTTCCAGGGACAGAGAGAACTCTGGGAAAAAGAAGGGCAGGGTCGCCTCAGAATTCCAGCACTTGAGAGGGAAAAGCAAGAGGATTGCTATGAGTTCAAGGCTAGCCTGGACTACCTAAGAAGTCCCAGGTCAGCCAGGGCTACAAAGTGAGACTGTCTCTGCTGGACTTGGAGACACATATCATGATCCCAGCACTCCGGAGGTAGAGACAGGGGGATCTCTGTGAGTTCAAGGCTGGCCTTGTCTACAGAGTGAGTTCCAAGGCAACTAGAGCTACACAGTGAGACATGTCTCAAAAAACAATAAATAAGTGAATAACAAAAAGAGACTGTTTCAAATAAATCAGTAAATAAAAAAAGTTAAGAGAAGTGTCAAACACGATGGTGAAGACTGAAATATCAACTACTGGGGAGCCGAGGCAGGAGGACAAAATTCAAGGCTACCCTGGGAAATTAGCAGAAACCTGTCTCAAAAAAATAAAAGGAACCTGACATAATTTTTTGTGGGTTTTTTTTTTTTTTGGTTTTTTGAGACAGGGTTTCTCTGTATTGTTTGGAGCCTGTCCTGGAACTCACTCGGTAGACCAGGCTTGGTCTCAAACTCACAGAGATCCGCCTGCCTCTGCCTCCTGAGTGCTGGGATTAAAGGCATGCACCACCACCGCCTGACTGGAATTTCTTTTGTGGCCAAACAGTTCCCAGGAACCAAGCATCTAGGAGAGTGGGAGGGGGGTGGTCTGGAGTTTCTTTGTGTTCAGTTTTGGCCCTAGACTCTAGGAGACCAGAGGATCTGGAGTTTCCTTGTGTCAGAGGCCTACGTGTCTTTTCTGTAGCCTGTCATGGCTGCTAAAGCAGGGGGCTGAGTGAGGGTCTGGTCCCTTTATTTCTAAATTATTAGAAGTGAAGCCCTTGAGTTTAGTTTACCCCTTTCAGGGAGGAAAGGGTTTATGTTGCTTATAGTTCCATATAACAGTTCATTATCATGAGCAGTGAGGGCAGGAATTCACACAGCTCAGGAACCTGGAGCAGGAGCTGACCCAGAGGCCATGAAGGAGTTCTGTTTACTGGTTTATACCTCGTGGCTTGCTCAGCCTGCTTTCTAGTAAAGCCCAGGACCACCAGCTCCAGGGTAACCCCACCCACAATGGTCAGGCAATCATTAATTAAGAAAATGCCTTACAGGCCTGCCTTCAACCTGATTTATGGAGGCATTTTCTTAGTTGAGGCTCCCTCTTCTCATATGACTTTAGCTTGTTTCATGTTGACATAAAACTAGCCAGGACAGCGGGGCGTTGGTGGCGCACGCCTTTAATCCCAGCACTCGGGAGGCAGAGGCAGGCGGATCTCTGTGAGTTCGAGGCCAGCCTGGTCTACAGAGTGAGTTCCAGGACAGCCTCCAAAACAATACAGAGAAACCCTGTCTCGAAAAAAAAAAAAAAAAAACTAGCCAGGACAGATGTCTTCACCTGTAATCCTAACATTCAGGGGACTGAGGCAGGAGGAACACCACAAGCTTGGGGCTAGCTTGGTCTACATTGTGAGTTCCAGTCTAGCCAGAGCTACATAGCAAGACCCTGAAATGCTTGGCTTGGAGGAAGAGGATCTGGGCAGAGACTAATGAATTTCCCTGACAGCAATGATCTCAGTTTTTCAATGGCCATAATGTTCCTATTGGCCTTCTCTGGGTCTGTCACCCTCACTAGTAACCCACGCTACAAATACTTCGCTCCCACCAGGCGGAGAGTCCATGCCTCATCTGTGCAGATCCTAGAGCTGATGTAGGGCACTGAATGACCCAAAGCTGTGAGAACAGAGTTGGCTGATTTGGCTCATGGGGATGCCTGGGAGACAGACTGCTCAGTTGGAGACTCACCAGGCTGTAAGGAAGGAGTAAATTGGAGTCCACAGATCTAAATGCCTATGAGCAAGGCCAAGCTTCTGTCCCCATCCTCAGCACGGATGATTAGCATGGAAGGCCAACTTGGCAGGGATCATCTAGGAGACAAACCTGCAGGTACTCTTGTGAGCTAGTGTCTTGATTCGGCTAAGTGAAGCGGGAAGGCCTACCCTAAGAGCCTGGACAGCGTGAAAAGGAGGAAGACGGCTGAGCACTGAGCCTTCCTCAGTCTCTTCCTCCTGACTGAGGCAGTGGGATGTCTACCTCAAGTTCATTACAACTCTGACTTCCCACTACCCTCAGACTGAACCCAAACATACCCAACCCTTCTAGTTTCTTCTCTCAGAACATTCTGTGACAGCAACAGGGGAAGTAGCCAAAGCTGAGTTCTGATTACCCATTGGTGTATTATTGAAGGATTCCCCCCTGAGACTCAAGAGAAAAGGCCTCCAAGTAAAGGTATGTCTGTAGGGGTCTCCCAAATAAAGGTTACCTTTATAGTGTACATCTTTTCAAGTATTAGGATTTGAACTCATGACTTTGGAATACTGTAGAAGTACTCAATTTCTAAGCCCAAGCTCCCTCCCATTTTGATTAAAATTTTTAGGTAATATCTTCTGCTATCTATTTATTTATTTATCTAATGTGTATGTATATGTTTTCTTTGCATGTTTGTATGTACACCATGTTCATGCAGTGCCCTCAGAGGCCCCAAAAGGGTCTCTGATTCCCTGAACTGGAGTGACATGTGGGTTGTGAGCCCATGCAGGTACTGAGAATTCAACCTGGATCCTCTGGAAGAAGATCTAGTGCTCTAACCACTGGGAAGTCTCTACAGCAATGTTTGAGACAGTTTCTCCACTAAATGGCCCAGGCTGTGCTGAACTTGTATTCCTACTGACTCAGCGACCCTTGTGGCTGGAATTACAAGCCTGAGCCATTAGGTCAGCCATAATGAAGCTTTAAAAAAAAAGCTCAAACAAAGACCTAATGTAAGCTGAGAAGCAAAAAGACCTGGAGAAGATCATGAGAAAGAAACCAGAACAATGTCTGGGCAGGGGCTGTCTGTGGGCGCCACGTCGGCCACAAAGGTGGCAAAGAGCCCCTGAAACAGTCCAAGAAGGAAACCAAGGAGACAGACGAGGAAGATGAGGCTTCCAAGCAGAAACAAAAAGAGGAGCAGAAGAAACTCCTGGAGCTAAAAGCCAAGGCCATGGGGAAGGGACCCCTGGCCATAGGTAGAATTAAGAAATCTGGCAAAAAGTAACTGTTCCTCATATCTGAGATGATGGTGACCCTCTTCCATTCTCATTTAAACATCTGGATTCCATGCCATAACATCTTCGCCACCTACACCTAGAATGAAGTGTCATCCTGGAGCCTGGGGTACATTATAATAAACTTTTGTAAAATAAATAGATAATAAATAAATAAAATGAATTAGAAAGAAAGGAAGAAAGAGAGGGGAAAGAGAAAGAGAGAGAGAGAGAAAGAGAGAGAGAGAGAGAGAAGGAAAGAAAGAAAGAAAGAAACCAGAACAAGGCTGGGCAATGGTGGCTGATGCCTTTTAGTCCCAGCACTCAAGAGGAAGAAGCAGGCTGGGCGTTGGTGGTACATGCCTTTAATCCCAGCACTTGGGAGGCAGAGGCAGGCGGATCTCTGTGAGTTCGAGACCAGCCTGTGCTACAAGAACTAGTTCCAGGACAGCCTCCAAAACAATACAGAGAAACCCTGTCTTGAAAAACCAAAAAAAAAAAAAAAAAAAAAAAAAAAAAAAAGAGGATGAGGCAGGAGGATCTCTGTGAGTTCAAGACCAGCCTGGTCTACTGGGTGAATTTCAGAATAGCCAGGGAAATTGTGTTTCAGGGGAAAAAAGAAAGAAAGAAAAGAAAGAAAGCAAAACTCCCACTAAAATAAAAATACATATTCATACAACATATGTTTGTACTCAGTGTGGGAAATGAAGACAGGGTTTCACACATATGGAAAGATATCCTGCCTCTGAACTACACCCTAGCCAAGAAAGATAGTTCTTATTTGTTGTTTTGTTTGTGAGACAGGTCCTCTCTATATAGCTCTGTCTGCCCTGGAATTCTCTGTAGACACAAATCCTCTGCTTCCCAAGGGCTGGCATTAAAGACTTGTGCCACCATGCCCAGTGAGATGTTTTGTTTTGTTTGTTTGTTTGTTTGGCTTTGAGATACTGTTTCTCTATGGCTTTGGAGGCTGTCCTGGCACTCGCTCTGTAGACCAGGCTGGCCTTGAACTCTCAGAGATTCACCTGCCCCTGCCTCCTGAGTGCTGGGATTAAAGGCGTGCGCCACCAACACCCGACTGATAGGTAGTTTTAAAATGTGTATTAGCCATGAGCCATGGCTATTTTGTTTTTGCTGAATTTTAAACAAAAGATTGATACAAATATTGTTAAGATGAGGCTGGACAGAACACAGGCCACCAAACTTTCAAAACCTTGAAGATGGATCGGGAAAGCACTTGTGTCCTAGCACCTGGGCACTGTTTTTGCTTAACAGACATCTTATATTAAAACCAGACTGACCAACTGAGGGGGAATCCTACCCATGCTTCTTGCTGTACTCCTCCGTCTCTGGCCCTGAGTTTTCCTTCTACCCTGCGAGAGGGCACATGAAACCTCTAGACAGCACCTTGCAAACTAAGAAGGAAGATACAGCCTGGCACATCTGTGGCTGCGAGAGATTCCTTGTGGACATCTCTCTCCCACTGGGCCTCCCACCTGTCCCCTGGGTGGAAATCAAGCCCAGGGCCACTTCCTAGCACAGCTGGGCTCCACTCAAACAGCATTCCTTGGCCGTTAGGCAGGGCAGCCCCAGAAACTAGAGCTGTTTGCTTAATGTCTCAACAGCTGTCAGATGTACCAGAAATGCCCTGAGCGGTTTCACTTCCTGTCACAGTGGGTTTCACTTCCTGCTAGCCTGCTAGCTGGTCACCCAGGCCTCTGAACACAAGCAAACCAAGAGACCTCTGAGAGCCCAGGCAGCCAGGAGGGGCCTCTGTAGATTCTCTTGCCTTCTTGTGTCTGCATGGTTTTTTCTGTCTTTGTGCAGGGTAGTAGTGTCTATGTGTGCATTGCATACTTGGGCATGTCAATGTGAGCTGCTGCATTCACGTGTGCATTTAAGTGGAGACTTGTATGTATGTTTGTGGAGAGAGTTAGATACATTTGTGAGCTGCATATGGGTTTATATGTTTGAGGAGAGGAATATGTGTGCTTGTGTACATATATGTTCATGGATTTGTTCGTACTGTGTCTTCCATGGTTCAAAACAGTTCCAGACAAGCAATGTGGAAAGGCACTCTAAAATGTCTTCATGACTCTGGAAACTTCCTTAAAAACACAATTACAGGGCTGGAACAAAGGCTCGGAGGCTAAGCACTGGCTGCTTTTCTAGAGGACACAGGCTCAATTCCCAGCACCCACGTGGTGGCTCACAACCATCTGTAACTCCAGTTCCAGGGGATGCAATGCCCATACGTTCAGACAAAACACCCATTCACAGAAAAAAAGTTAAAAAAAATTTTAATTCCCAGCACTTGGAAGGCAGAGGTAGGTGGGTTTCTATGAGTTCAAAGCCAGTCTGGCATACAGTGAGTTTCAGAAACAACAGACAGAGCTGCATAGTGTGACCCTGTTTCAAACAAACAAACAAACAAACAAAACGAAACAATTAAAAAAGCAAAACCTGATTGTAGTGAGGATGCCCTTGAGTTTCCAGATAACTCCACCTTCTGAGTACTGGGATTACAGGCTTATTCCCCCAGGGATTGAACCCAGGACTTCAGGTATGCTAGGCAAGAGCTGCGTTAACTGGGTCACATCCCTCCTGACCGCTATCCCTTTAGTACACGCCAACCTCGGGATGAAGGCTGCTTGAGGCCTCTGAGCTGTTGCTTACTACTATGCCCTCAGGCCTACTCCGTGACTTCTGACAGTGGACACCTAGAGATACCGCCTGCAGAGGGACAGGCATAGTGGCAGTGAGGTGGAAAGGAACTTCTGAGTGTCTGTTAGTACAAGCAGGGCTCCCTAAACATCAGCATGGTGAATGGTGCCTCCTATAGCCACTCAGTGCTCAGCCTGTATTACCACACACCAGCCTTGGAGGCAAGTTTACAAGCCTGGGTTATGTGTTTCTTGTCCATCTCAGTGAAATGTTGAGGTGGCCATAGTGTCAAGCCTGAGCCAATTGCCTCCCATCTTTTTGTTACTACCAATCAGCACACCCTTTACGGCACCAACACAAACCTTCACATACTTGACAGCTTTCTGGGTCTATCTTCCCCCGGCCCCTACAGGGTCTCTCTCACATTGTAGTCTTAGCTGAGCTGGAACTAGCATGCTCTATTTAAGATGATCATTGCAGAAAAGATGGAGGGCATGTTTTCTCATAGGGTTGTCCTCAATGTCTCTGAACACTTGTTCAAAAGTTAAAACTGGCCGGGCGTTGGTGGCACACGCCTTTAATTCCAGCACTCAGGAGGCAGAGGCAGGCGGATCTCCGTGAAGTTTTTTTGTTTTTTGTTTGTTTTTAATTTGTGGTTAGAGGGGCAGTAAGATGGCTCAGTGGATAAAGGCCCCGGCCACACAAACCTTATGATTGAGTTTGAGCCCTAGAGCCCACATGAAGAAAGAAGGAGAAGACTGACCCCCTCCGTACATGCACGGCAGTACACATGTGCCCCTTCCACACATACACAACAATAATAAAGTTATTGAAAACTCTGTGCGTGCTTGCGTGGAAGGTGCGATATTCACGTGAGTAGGGAGTGTACTTTCCCATGCAGTCACATGTGGAGGCCAGAGATTTGATATTGGGGTGTTTTCCCTCAGTTGCTCCTCTGTTTCATTTATTTTTAAGATTTATTTATTATGTAGACAGTGTCTGCCTGAATGCCAGAAGAGGACCCCAGATCTCATTACAGATGGTTGTGAGTCACCATGTGGCTGCTGGGAATTGAACTCAGGACCTCTGGAAGAGCAGCCAGTGCTCTTAATCGCTGAGCCATCTCTCCAGCTCCCCTCTGCTTCATTTTTATGAGGCAGAGTCACTCATTAAACCCAGGGCTCACCATTTCATGTAGCCTGACCGGGCATTGCCTGGGATTCACCTGGCTCTGTCCCTCCAGCACTGGAGTCATAGCCTCCCAAGATGTACCTGGCTTTTATGTGGGGGCTGGGGATCCAAACTCGGTCCTCATGCTTGTGCGGCAGACACTTTACATAGCCATCTCCCTAGCCCTGTCGAGTCATTCCTCATGAAAGCCATCCTTAAGCTCAGCAAGGGAAAAATGTCTGTATTAGTTATCCTATTTAGTGAGTCCAAAGTTTTATACCTACATCATTTTTTATCAAAACTTGCATTACCATCCTAAAAATATCTTTTAGGACATCTCTTTAGATAAACAATTTAAGCTTTTGTGTTTCTCAACTTTATAAACTTTACATCTCTTACATAAGTTTGTTTTCTGAATTTGGTAGCAAGGAAAACTGTAACTATGACTATCTAGTCTTCAACTCCATCAGAGTCCCAAGAAGGATATATTACCTGAGTAAATAAGAAATGCAGAGCAAGCAACTTCCAAAACTACAGAAATGACAGCTGGCTGCCTGGACAGTCACCCAAGGTTCCTCTGTAATATTGGGGCATCCATCTTCAGCCTACAGGCCTAGCATATCTGACAGACATTTCTGTGAAGCAAGAATTTTGAAGGACTGTCATACCTTGTCTTGGCAAAGTTCAGAAATCACCCTCTTTTTTGTTCTGTTTGCCCAGTTTAGACAGCATACTGTCAGCAATTGAGGCAAAGGTAGTTTCTTTTTTCTTTTTCTTTTTGGTTTTTTTGAGACAGGGTTTCTCTGTATTGTTTTGGAGGCTGTCCTGGAACTCATTCTGTAGACCAGGCTGTCCTGGAACTCACAGAGATCCGCCTGCCTCTGCCTCCTGAGTGCTGGGATTAAAGGCATGCACCACCAAAACCTGGCTCAAAAGCAATTTCTTGCTCAGTGGCTAACTTTGCCACATTAAAAGCAAACTCCATATGGAGGTTCCTTGATGCCCATCATCCTTTTGTGAAGAAATTGCTGTTGCCAGGAGCAGATGTGTCTCATTGTCATAAAAGACTCATGTTATTAAAATATCTTAAATGCCATATTCTGTAGGTCTCTGAAGTGTTTATATATCTCTACTTAAACTTGGAAACATACCTAAGATTACTACAAGTTTGATCACT